CACAAATCCAACTTGACCAGACCCGGGATCGAACCCAGGCCACCGTGGTGGGAAGCCAGCGACTAACCGCTTGAGCTATGGCGCCGCCCAGAAACATGGTTGATTGTGATTTTAAAAGAAATAGTTCCACATAGTTCAATGATTTAGAACAACCACAGAGAATTAAATTGAAGATATTCTGATAGACCCAAGAAGTAAGTTTTGCACATATTGAAAGTCATGTCACAAAATCTTTCTGATTGTGTACCTATAGCTATTCTGTGTTACATGCATTTAAAATGAAAGCAACATTATCATACTTCTGTGAAGAGTCCTGATATATTTAATCATAATACATATTCTAAAATCTCTTTAAGATTGAAAAAATAATATCATGACCACGCGAAAATTATTTCAGTTTTGTTACAGTCACGGCTGAATTACATATTAAATTTAATGCTGAGAGAAATTGTAAATATGAATATAATTGCAAGACTAGGACATGAATTTTTCATTCACCTAAGAGCAACATGTATTTCCTCAAACTTCAGTTCTTGGCACTGATTTCAGTACACTGTGAGTTAATGAATATCAACCAACTGTATATACAAATATATGAAGTAAATAGTAGTGGAGAATTTGGAATTTACATATTAATGGTTGACTCAGGTGTCTTTAGAATTTACCACATATTTTCCACCATGTTAGTTTGTGTATTTTGCCTCCAACAACAAGCCCATTGCCATCATTTTGGAGAATGTCAAAGAAGGCTCCATCATCTGTTCCAATAGTTGATGTAGATTCAAGATGAAAGATCTGGAAGATGTGGGTGATAAGCATTTGACAATTGGCCACAAGTACAAATTTTGAATGGATGTTGGTATCTGACAAGTAGTGTAACAAGTAGCAGCGAGGTACCATGCACCACCCTGCAAAGTCACACTTGGCCAATTTTATATGGCAGAGTCAACTCAAAAAGGATTCCTTTGATGCCATTTTGGAAACAGTCAAACAGTACTGGTCACAAGATACCAGATGCTTTCCTGAATATGCCATTGTAGGTAAAGTCACAGAAACTGTCCACAAAACTGTTTTGGGTCACCCATTAATTTGTAAATACCAAGAATTTTTTTGTGGCTTAAAATATTATTTAGCATTATGTGTAAGGTTACTAAATTTGCTCATTTTTTCAATTTCATACATAAAGACCATTCAGTAGTGTTGACATAACTACGCAAATTTCAGGCTGAATCCAACATGAAAAAGTATGGCAATATCTTAATCCAGAATGCTCCTGAGGAATCAACACAGTTCCTTAAGAAGCTTTGTACAGACTACCGGCCTAGCAACAAGCCGCTTGTGGACCAGGTGAGGTAGTAGATCAGTTTTAGGTAATTCTTTGTACATTTGTTGGGCCATGCCATAGCTCAAGCGGTTAGTCGCTGGCTTCCCACCGTGGCTGCCCAGGTTTGATCCCGGGTCTGGTCAAGTGGGATTTGTGGTGGACAAAGTGGTGCTGGGGCGGGTTTTCTCCTAGTACTTATGTTTCCCCTGCCAATCTTCATTCCACCAAATTCTCCATCATAATCACCTGGGGCAGGCTACAATAGGCCAATCAGTGGCCGCTGTGCTGAGTGGACCCAGTTGGACTCCACCCCCCACTAAGCATATTGTAGAGACAGTGTCACGTAACTTCGAACAAGGCCACACTTTCCCCGCAACCCACCCCCCTGTCTGAAATTTTTCTTTGCATTCAAGGATACTCTTGGCACTCTTGGCCTTGTTCGAAGTTACGTGACACTTGCTATAAATTTGTTTTTGCTACCATGTCAGATAACCTCTGTTGCCTTACACACTTTCCTATCCAGTAGCTGCTGGGAAAGCATGTGGAAATGCCCACTCACTTTCATCAACTTTCATGCGTGTTAAAAAATGCCAACTTTGCAGTACCACAGAAGTTGAAGAGTGTAGCAAAATTGGCACTATTCAACATAGAGCTCCCAGTCATCATATAGTGAAATCCCCATTTCAAGCTTCTATCCAGGAACACAGCATTTAAACAGTGAACTTACATCCAGTTACCTAATTTCATCACTTGTGATATTTTTATCGTCCTGGCCTGTACCTATTGAAGGTAAATGAATAGTCTTAAAATGTTGAACACCTGTATGCTGGAAACCTTCAGTGGGGAAACATTTCTACTGATATCACTGGAAGTTGGTATACAGGGACACTGAGCACTGGATTATGATCAATCACAACTCAATTAATATTAGATGGAAATCAGTGATGTTGTAGCACACAGCTGAAAACTTCAACAGAGCACAAAATTGTTTACTCATTTTTGTTTAATGTATTTGTGTGTTCAAAAATATAAACATGGGAAGTCCTGTGATTAGTGCTCTGAAATTTATGTTTCTTACCTCAAGTTCTTGGCTTAAAACTTTTGTTTCTTCAGACTGGAGCTCTTGGCTTTATGCCTTATCTCTTGTTTATGTTTTTAAACTCATGTTCTTGGCTTTAGTATAAAATCTTTATAGGTATGTAGACTTCATCAAGTTAAGCCACATCCAGAACTCTTGTCTTCCTTTTATAATATATTGTCTTTGTTTCAGAACATGCTGGATGGGTCAAACATTCCTCGTGTGGAACGAGCAAATCCAGAAGAATTCATTCACTTGTTCCTCAACAATTCAGAGAGATTAGTGGAATTCCTAGAACATCTGGTCAAGGTACTGATTTCTTCTAACAGTTTCATCAAGGCAGAGGTCCAGAACACATAACAAGCAGAAAGAACTCACCTTTCACATTTTAATGGATACCATTACTGCTGCTTTGAATATGGGAGATTACAATAACAGCAAAGATGTACAGGATTTTCAGACTTTTCCATCATCTGGTATTCTAAAGAATACAACATGACTATTCAGGTGTTGAAGTTAACTATGTCTAACAGACCCAACAGAGTAGGTGTCTCATACCCCTCACCTGAGGATGGAAGCAGATCCAGTTTCCAAAACGTGTTCTTGAGAATAATGGACAAAGGACAAAGTCCAAGAACATAGTAATCCTGAATGTTATACACCGTCTCAGAGCCTTTTAGAATCTATGGTAACAGGTGTTCTGATACCAGTATAAACCTTAGAGTAAGCCATTGTGATCACACAATTTCTGCAAGGTCACCATTCATAAGGATTGGGTATGATCTGAAAAGAAGTGGTCAGAGACTTCTTTAAGATCTAGTCCTTGCATTTGCTCTACACACACTGAGAAGGGTCATGAGAACTTTGGTCACAATAGCTTTCCTCTTAGCTGATATTTGTACCTGGGATATCTTAAATAAGATTATAAGCATTAACTGATACAATTTGCATAAGTAGCAAAACATTTTATCTTCCATTCATCACCATTTGGTTTATGAAAATTGTTTTTCTAGGGTTTGCAGCAGTAATTCAATTCAATTCAAAGTAACCTAACATTTATGAAATTAAATAAAGGTAAGATAAATGCGCAGTAAAATCCCCATTTATTATTTTTCACCTTAAGACTTCCCTCATTTAATGTTAGTTTTAATGATCTCAAGTCAACAATCTGGTAATTTTCCTCCATTTAAAACTTTCCTCAGCTTAGTGCTGAAATACATTCCTCCCCAAAGAAATCTTAAATGGGCGGTTTGCTATATATGGACAAATTCTTTAGTTCAAGTTTCATACCTATTTGGTGTAAGAGGATTTCTCTTTTCAACTTTTTCTCTTCTGTTTAATTAGTATGTTAATGTGCCGTAGGTTCAGCCCAGATGGAGCACTCTGGTATACAACACCCTCGTTGAGCACTATCTGCATGTGTGGGCATCACTTACTGACCCAACAAGCAAAACTCAGTATGAACAGAAGATTCTGCACCTCTTGCAAAACTCGGACGCAAATTATGACAAGGATCAGACTCTCATTCTGTGCCAGATTCACAACTTCAAGAGTGGCGTTCTTTATCTCTATGAGGAGAGCAAATTGTATGTACAATGAGTTGTATTTTATTATTAGATTACAATGAACCTTAATATTGCTAAAATTTATAAAATTCCTGAAGATGCTCATTTTAATGGATAGTTATAATATGGATGAAATATGTAGCTACAAGTCCATCCCTTAACTTATAATTATGCATAATACATTGTGATACCGAGGTTTAAACAATAAAACAGTGAGTTTAAGGTCTTTCATTCTGGTCCGTCACACTAACAAATTAACAATCAAGTTCCTTCCGTCAAATGTGACACTTTTATAAGTTTTCCACCTCGTCACCACCTGCCTTACATGTTTCGGCTCACCACGGAGCCATCATCAGAGGCATTTATAGTAGAAAAAGAAATCACCAACACACAAAACTTCACTTTGTTAAAAATAGCCACGTTCCAGTTAATTAAAATAATTACAATAGTTAAAATTGCCGAGAGTGTCGGTTCACTAAAGGTTTTCCACACACCACGGTAGCTTTCTTATTTAATTCGTCGTTAATTCTGTAAAAATTATGTTTCGTTATTTGAAGTAAGAATTCTTAAAATTCCTAGAATTCTTTCCCGCTTGGCCCAGTCTTTTTTCTTCGGGATGTTGTTGACGTGTGTTGTCTGTCGGTTGTTGATGTTGCTTGTCTGTGTGTTGCGATGCTTCTGTGCATGTGCTTGTGTGAAGCACACAAGCATCGCAACACACAGACAAGCAACATCAACAACCGACAGACAACACACGTCAACAACATCCCGAAGAAAAAAGACTGGGCCAAGCGGGAAAGAATTCTAGGAATTTTAAGAATTCTTACTTCAAATAACGAAACATAATTTTTACAGAATTAACGACGAATTAAATAAGAAAGCTACCGTGGTGTGTGGAAAACCTTTAGTGAACCGACACTCTCGGCAATTTTAACTATTGTAATTATTTTAATTAACTGGAACGTGGCTATTTTTAACAAAGTGAAGTTTTGTGTGTTGGTGATTTCTTTTTCTACTATAAAGGCCTCTGATGATGGCTCCGTGGTGAGCCGAAACATGTAAGGCAGGTGGTGACGAGGTGGAAAACTTATAAAAGTGTCACATTTGACGGAAGGAACTTGATTGTTAATAAAACAGTGGTCATATTTAATGTGAGGGATGCATTCCTGAAGACCTTGCATGATTCAAGACGACTTCTGAAACACACAAGTGAGTGTTCCCAAATTCTGGGATTTGAAATATTTCAAACTTGCACATAAAATGAGACTTTATTAATATTTTATATATTGCACTACTTCAGATTTGGAAGAAACGTAATCACACTGTACAGCATTATTTCTTCTTCTTTGAAATGGTTATCATGGAGATATAAAATTAACATATACTCATATTAATTGAATATTCCCATCACCAATACATTATCTGAAGTGGAGAGTTAAAGATTTTCATAAACTTTCATAACCTCTTCTGTTTTCAACTGATTGCTAATTAGCTTAAGGACCCAATTTTGTGTGCTTTAGGTATCAGCAAATTGTGCAGTACCATATCAGGCAACAGGACCATAAGGCAGTGTTGGCAAGTTGTCGGCGGTTTGGACATCAGGACCCCAGCCTCTGGGTGCAGGCACTTTGGTCCTGTGCTAAGGACCCCAACATGCCTAGCTCACTCTTATCCGAGATCCTCGGTGTGATAGGTAATCCTCGTATTCTTTTGGAAATCTTGAGAAAAATACTGATGGTTGTATAATGTGAGTAATGCATTATGTCACAGAGAAAGAGCGTTTGCTCTCTCCATTGCTGGTGGTGGATGCCCTGTCCAACTCATCAACAGCTACGCTGGGGGAAGTGCGAAACTACTTGTTAAGTGTTCTGCAAGCAGAGAGTGAGCTGGCAGAACAGGAGCAACAGCTGATTGACAAATATCGGCAGGAAACTGAGAGGATTCATGCCCAGATCAATTCCATTCAGACCAGGTTTGTGGGACCTCTTATATTTCATGTTATGATGTAAGACCATAGTCTCGTACATGATTGACTGACTGACTCTTCCAGGCTCTCTGTTATACTCAATCTGGCATTTTGGAAATCCTGTTTCACTATTTTGTCCAATTGAGTGTGATATTTTTAACATAAAAGTAAATAAATCCAGCCTGCAGAGGTGTTATGTGTTAAGTCACTTGGGGCAGTGATGCATTAACAGGTCAGGGGCAAGTTTTTTGCCAGAGCCTAGTATTGCAAAAATGAATTGTGCAGTGGTTCAGGTTTGTATACATTGGTTTAACTTTTCCCAGATGTGTATACCATTTGTTTTATAAACTTACATTTTGAAGAAACAGTGAACTATTAACAGTTCTAGTATGTTCCATCTAGATGGCATCTGAGAGCAGAAATATTAAAATTAATGTGAGGCCAGACCAGGATGGAGAACTCTGAAATTAATTTCAGTGTATGTATTGAAATAAATGAGGAATTATTTTCAGAATAATTCTGATAAAGTAAAGCTAAAAATGGTAAATTTGTCTGTAGGCTTAATTAATTAAGCACCATGCAACGAAGATGTATGGGGGAGTTAAAGAATAGTTTCACCCTTCTTGACCTTGGTGTTTAGTGGAGGTAGAGTGGTCAGCTTCACACCATGGCTGCTTTATGCCCAGGGAAATAGCCCCAAGTACCCATTGGATAGGAGGCTGGGTGGGCCTCAGGGCTGGCCAGGATGATGTTGAGTAGACAAAAATCTCTTACTCCTGCTGGGATGAAACCCAAGCTGCTGAGCCCATAGCAAAACAATATACCGACAGCTGTCCTGGCTCTTAGAGTAATTCTGATATTGATAAAAATAGCTATGATGATAGTAACATGAAGCCAGTAATTGAATGTATGAGGGGTAGGCCTCCTCGGTCCTTGCACCGCAACCTACAGTGGTCTGTTGTGTTTAAGCCAGTAATTAGTGACAGTAATAGGTTCAGTCGGGGGAGGGGGGCACATGGTAGCGTTTGGTTGAGGCACTGTGCTACAAGCCAGAAGGTCGCGAGTTCGAATTCACAGAATCCTTCCAGCCGCACTATGGCCCTGAGGTCAACTAAGCCTCTAACAGAAATGAATACCAGGAATCTTCCTTGGGAGTAAAGAGCAGCCGATGCATAAGGCTGACAACCTTACCGACATCTTTGAGCTGATTGTTTAGAAAATATGGAAGCCGTGCCATCTCACAACCCTATTGGCCTCCACGGCCTGTTACAGGGGCAGCTTTATCTTTAATAGGATTAGTCAGTGTGTTTTATTTAGCAGCAAAAGACTTTGTTTCCACTCTGAGAAACCGGCACCTAACTGCATGACCTACTGAAAAGAGTGAGGAAGGTGTAAAAATGGAAGGAATTCAACATGAGATTATTTACTTTGGTTCACTGAAATTTATATTTAAATTGAGGACCTAAATTTACAGTTTCACTTCATATGAGGCATTTCATTTTTGAGTGTCAAGTATTAGATGAGTACTTATTAAATAAAAATAGAATATAAAATATTCAGTTGGAGATTGCCATTTTGCTTTTTCTAACAATTTTTGTTCTAATGGTGTTCGGCGTATAATTATGAATCATTATATGATACATTTAATGCATGATTTTTTTAAACTCTTCAACATTTTTTGGTTGAATTGCTGTTTATTGTGTTAATAATGTTCCAGCACAATTATTTTCCAAGGGTCCAGGTGCAATGCTTGCAACCATCAGCTGGAACTGCCATCCATCCACTTTCTGTGCCAACATTCCTTCCATCAGCAGTGAGTAATGTTCCGGTCCAGTGCTTCCAATAGTGGTGTTTTATAAAACTGGCATACTATAAATATTTTTGTCAATATACATGATGAGATTTGACATTCTCATGTCACTGAATATGAAGACTATATCTTCTTGGATGTGATACTGTGTAGTTTGGCAGATAGCTACCAGACTACATGGCATCACATCCTAGAAGACCATGATCTATACAGGGTGTCCAAGGAGGAATGTACTAAACTTCGGGAGGGTGTTCCTTATGTTATAGTATGCCGATATAACCCAAAACACCTATGTCCAAAGTTGAACGGTTACAGAGATAATGGCTCAAGAAAAGTGTGGTANATGATCTATATATACAGGTTGATGTGTGAAAAGTGTTACATCAATCATAGGTAGGTTGCTGTGGAGGTCATTTGAAGTATAAAATGTTACAAACAAGCTGAATTATATTGAATAGGATATCAGATATGCAGAATGATCAGTATANTGTGGTATTCTGGCGAGTCCACGCACTGTACCTGTCAGCTGGCATGTCTTATCTACATTTGTCCTTGAGTGTGGTGGTGGCAGCTCACGTTAGCCCCATACACTCGCATACCAGAACGCGCAGTCAGCAATGTTACGAAGTTTGGCAGATTCCTCCTGGGACACCCTGTATATATACAGGTTGATGTGTGAAAAGTGTTACATCAATCATAGGTAGGTTGCTGTGGAGGCCATTTGAAGTATAAAATGTTACAAAAAGCTGAACTGTATTGAATAGGATATCAGATATGCAGAATGATCAGTATGTAGGGAGATTGCTGTGGAGGTTGTTTGGAGTTGACTTCATTCACTTCATCAGCCTTTTTTATGTATGATATTTGAGGTAACTTGAGGACGCTGAAAAGCAAATATTGCCATGCAGTCTATAGTAATTACATTCTGGGGTGTGTTGCAAGTGTTAAAGAGATACGCTGTGCGACTGATGTTTTATTTTGGACTACTACTTAGCCCTGTTAAGCATATGTACTTGCAGAGTTAGACCATCTGGAACAGATCCTGTGAAACTGGAGTAAATACAGTATTTACTTTGTGTTGCAAAAATATCCCCATATTTTGACTTGAAAATGGAAGTACTATTCAGAATCCCTACCATACGATCATAAATGAAACTTAGCGGGTACTTTGCAATGAAAATCTTGGAAAGAAAAGTTATTTTTTTAATTCACTAAATATATATGAATGTGTATATGTATATATTTATGTATGTATTTATTTATTTGTAGTTGATATAAAATTTTCCATTCCAATTTATCTCCACATAAACCTCCAAAAATTATTGACTTAACCTTTCATTCATGTAGTAGGTTGGATAGAAGTTTTTAGGCAATGTTGCATGGGAGCAGAAAGCTAACAGTTGGATGTAAGATAATGGAGTATTCTGCAATAAAAAAAATAAACACCAAATATTGTTATTGTTTTATGTTTGTTCCAGTTGCTTCCAGAGCTATTCTGAGAATGAAAATGAATGTCCTGCATGTCTTCCAAACAATAAAAAGATACTGGACATCATCAAGTCTCAGGTATCCATTTTGTATGAATGAAACATAGCAGTCATATGGATACTGTTCAAAGTGATGGGTGCAATACACAAAACTAGTGTCACTGTCTTAGTATGATCCTTTCCTGGACCAGATTAAACATTTCAGAAGTAAAACTGATGGAAACTAGTAAAGGTGAAGTAGTTGCTATATTAAGCACCATGTAATGAAGCTATATAGGGAGGAATGGAGGTAAAGCTCCAGACATTCTTGACCTTTTTATTTGGTGGAAGCAAGCAGTCACATTAACTTTGTGGCAGCCTTACCCTGGTACCCATCAGAAGGAAGACTAATTCTAACCTTAAATCTGTGAAGAAAATCTAATTCTAATTCTTACAGTGTGACATGACTGCAAAATGGTCTTTGGGCTATATGAATGTTGTAAAAATGATGTTAAGTCATTCATTTTTCATCTTATGATGCTCCATTCCTTTTTAGTCCTGTGAACTTCAAATAGTTATTTTCTTATAGACATTTCAGTCTTAAAGTGTTGTTATTAAATTTTAAAGTACTGAACAATTCCTCATGATATATTTACATGGTAGCGTAGTTGGTTGAGGCAATATGGTACAAGCCAGAAGGTCGTGGGTTCAAGTCCCGATGAGTTCATTGGATTCTTTTCAATTGGCCTAATCCTTCCAACTGCACTATGGCCCAGGGGTCGACTCAGCCTCTTAACAGAAATGAGTACCAGGAATTAAATAATTTTCCTGGGGAGTAAAGCGCAGCCGCCACATAAGGCTGACAACCTTACCGCCATCTTTGAGCTGATTGTCTAGATAATGTGGGACCCTCAGCGTCTCACAATCCTATGGGCCTTCACGGCCTGTTAACAGGGACAGCTTTACTTTACTTACTTATAATTAATATAAATTACATATATTAAAAGCTTGGATTTTGAATAGATGCACACAGAAGAGTAAATTGTTATCTTTTTACTTATACTGTCAAAATGAAATTATTAAAAAATACTCTCATGAAAAGTTTAAACAGGGATTTATGGTTGTGGCATATTAAGGTGTAGCTGCCTTAAAAAGTGGCTGTGGAAAGCTTTTCTTTGATAAATAAGTAGTATATAGGCCTGTGTCCCTTCATAAGAAACACTGATACTGTAAAGCAGTTGTATATAACTTATCTCTTTATCAAAACATGAATTGCAGGAACAAATACGAGATTTGCATGAAACATTCCACAGCCAGCTCGAACGAGCTGAGGACGGCTTCTCATTGGTGGCTGATTACTTTGGACGAGGAGTCTTCAATAAGCTGACTGTCATAACTGACTCTCCAGACAAAACAAATATCAGTAAGCAGAAATCTTATAGTGTTAATTTTTGTTCAAAGTTTCAGGTTTTACTGCCATTTTCTTTAATGTGTATCATAATATTGCCCTTCCATCTGTGCCTTGGGATACCTTCGAAGTCCCCTTTATCAGCGGTTCCGAAAGCTTTTCAGTTCATGGAGCACCAGGACATTGTATTGTCCTCTGAGGAACACATTGAAAAATTAATTCTTTTATGCCATCATAAAGGTAAAAGAAGTAAAGTTGTCCCTGTACTTAACTATTTAAGCACTGTGCCATGAAGGTGTATGGGGAAGTGGATGTATCATTCAGACTATAAACAATATTTTCAGCAGAAAATGTCATATTATGGTCTGCACATCTCAAAAAATGATGATAACAAGTGGCATTGGTGGTGATGACAGATAACATCTGGCAAAAACAAAAGATAAATAAAAAAGTATGTAGGGCACTGACAGCAATTATAAAATTGAGAAGAAGATTCAATTCATTAACTTAATGTTTCTCTGAGAATTTGAGGAAAGACTGACGTTACTCAAGTTTTAGTGGGGGAACGCTAAGGTCAAGTTGATGGAGTGTTATGTCAGAGCATAATTAGCAACCCCTGCCATAGATCCTTCATAGTACTAAAGAGTAACAAGAGGAGTCATATTCAGAATAGGGACGTTTGTCTACTTTTTTGGGTGCAAAATGTAATTCATTAAATTTGGAAGTTCTGTCAGCAGTGGAAAGAAGATATGCATTAGATACCATCATATCATTTATGCAGAGCAGTTTTGGAATACAGGTCTCCTGGATGAAGTGTCCATGGAAATCCTGGGAAGAAATTGACCAGTATATTTGCATCTGAGTGGGGAATGAAGTATCCAAACCTATGGAGGAAGAAGTAGTGTTTCTTTCCAGTCTAATCCTAGTCTTTTTATGTCCTTCAGTCTGTCATGTTACTTCCTCTTTCTCTTGAGGATCTCAAATTTACTCCCATGTCTGCCAGTCTCTTAGATTTTTTTTATCTTTTGATTTATGTAATATTCTTATGAGGACTTTACTCCAGCGTTTTGCCTTATTACTTCATTCTTGATGGAGCCGCGATAGCTCAGTTGGTATAGTGACTGGCTGTGGGCTGGATGACCGTGGATTTGGGGTTCAATTCTTGGTAGGGTCATGAATCTTTTCTTCTCCGTGTTATCCAGACTGGATCTGGGGTCCACCCAACCTGCTAACCAATGGGTATGGGGAGGGGGCTCTTTTGCCGGGGCATGAAACTGACCAATCACCTTGAGCTAGTGCAGAGGTCAAGAAAATGTGGATCTATACATCCATTCCCCCATGCACCTTCATGGTATTCTGCTTAATTAGTTAAGCACAGGGACAGCTTTACCTTCTTATTTCATTCTTGATTCTGTCTCTTGACTGTTCCAGTCATTCTCACCTGTATGTCACATATTATGTAATATGTACAGTTTGTATACCTTCCTTGTACTGAGAAAGTAAGATTAGATAAACATGCCTGTTAACTACTTATACTGTCTTATCTGATTATCATATCTGTAGTTCAATAATAAACTTGGTAAGATAGTAAATAATGGTATTTTCTTCCAGTTTGAAATATTACAGCATGCAAGTGATCTGTGAGGCAGAGTCATGTGCAACTTGTTTGATTTGCTTTTCTTAGAATCATCTAAACCTCTCAGTGATGGCTCACTATCATATGGTCCTGGAGCTGAGGCTCGCCTTAGGCTAGGAGAGGGTCAGGTAACACGTAATTGTAAGTACAAATGTTTAAGCTTTGTGTCCTCAGTGATGTACCATGCAAGACTGTATTACAGTCCACATATATCTACTAGCACAGTGGTGGCAAACGTCATGCAAGTTCATTTTGGCTGACAGCCTCAGGAGGCCACCACATATTGCCTTTCCACTAATTTTATGGCATGGCAATGATAGCTTTGAACGTTACAGATCATTTGTTTGTTATTATTAATTTGTAACATATGTAAGTTAATAGGAAAATTTGCATGATATGCAGGGAAATTTTGTAACTTTTTTGTTCAGTTGGTATATGAGCTGGTGAATGTTCAACATTATTGTACATTAGTCTGTGTGCAACAAATTCATTTGCTATATTACCACCAATCCTAGAAATTACATTTAAATGTTTGCTAATTAGGTAGAGTGTGTTTATGTTGTGCCTAAATATACTATAAGCTCTTGATTTTGCTGTCCATCAGCTGTCAAATAGGTTGAGAGGTTTCATTTGGTCTGATACTGTATGGAACTAAGTGACTATTTTGACGTCCCCACATACAAAATCCTACGCTTCATTTGAAGCACAGGATTGCTGAAGGGATAATTAAAAGGGGAAGCACAATAAATCACTGTAGGTCGCGGTGCAAGGGCCGAGAAGCTCCACCTCTTATACACTCATTCATTCATTCATTCATTTGGTCTTTAACCACATTTCTCAAATCATGTAGGAGAGTTTCATAACACACTTAGGTACACTAATGCACATAATCCCCCCCCCAAAAAAAGAACAAGTTATGGTGGTATAACTATTTTGCTGTAGAAGACTTATGGCCAAAATTTAGGTTCACTAAGTTTAGGTTTAAGTTCATACTTGATTTGTTGGATGACTTTTTTAGATCCCTTAACCAACCAATGTACTTGATATTTGGCATTTGTATTCTGTTCGTTTTTTAATTATTTCCTACAGAAATATCATAAATTTAGTTATAAACTGATCAGAAAGTGTACTTGATTTTTCAACAGCTACTTAGGCATAGTTTATTTTTTAAGAATTTAAACCATGTTTCCCTAAAGGAAGATTAAGAGCAAGATAATTAAAGAAACTGGTGGACTATGTATGGGTAGACTCCAGATTTTAGAAATTAATACTGGATCAGTGAACAGTCATGGAAAGGTATTTCTAATTTCTGAATGCGAAAAATATGCTATATGTGAATGCACTGGAGTTGTGCGGTGTTGCTGTTTGTATAGTGGGACGTAGCTGTGTTACTGCCAGTCAAATAAATATGCTTCCTGAAACAATGTTTACAGGATATAGATTCTTATTCTGCTAAACATCTTGAATCTTTTGCAGCCTTCGACAGCCGTACAGTACAAGGGGATCGAAGAAATGTTGGTAATGTTAGTACAGTCATTACACCTTCAGAAGGCAGGGTGAGGCTAGAAGAGAGTCGCCATTCAGACCTGTACAGTTCTTCTCTTGAAGCAAACCTGACCTGGAATGTGGTTGAAGCTTCCTCTCGAACATCAGCATCACCGGCAAGGATTTCCCCTGCTCGGGGATCCCCTGCCAGAGGCTCACCTGACTCTCTTCGAAATGTGCAGCCTCTCATTAACAAAACCCTAACCCCTCGTCATTCACCTTCCCCCAGGGCCACTCCACCTCCCAAACCACGAACTGAGCCTTCCAGAAATCCATTTGATGAAGATGACTATGATGAAAGCAAAAATCCATTTGCAGATGACAAATCCACAAATCCATTCAGTGGGGATGCTGATGATTATGATAAGAACTTGAATCCATTTGAAACATGACTGATTTCTTTATTCTTAGTCATTTGTATATATACATGATTGCTAGAGCAGAGGTCAGGGGCCATATCAGCAATGTGCTACAATAGATATACATGCCACCATAGTTTATATATTATAAATACCATGTAAATTAGATTTGAAAGGAAAATATTAGGGCAAATGGTACAGGAAAGGTGAAACAACGTGTTGTTGCATGGTGTCAGTGAGTAATGATGTGCTTCTGAACATGTTCTGTTTTTAACTTAATTTGTGTACGTAAACCATACTGAACGTTTTTCTGTAGGTTACAAAACAGGCAAAGCACAATTATTTGAACTCCTGCAACAGAAATGTAGAAGTCAAAGTTGATAGCCTAGGCAGAATGTGGGCAAATTAATACCTTCTGATTTGAATTTGTATTGCCCCCAAATGTATCCTCCAGTAGTATTCATACAATTGCACAGTAGTGTTTTTGTCTTTCAACATACACGCAGAAATTTCCATATAAAACTTGCATATGTCCAACTCCTTACCAACTTTAATTTGTGTGTCTACAGAGATATTGCTACCATGAAGTATGCAAACATGACCTAAGTCATGTAGAAGCCACATATATAATTTATGGTTATGTAAAAGCTAGAACACCATGTTGAGCAGGGTGATTTTGTATGCCAAGATTTATTGTCTGGAAGCATTGAGAATACAGCTAGCAGAGAGACAAGAGGGAGTGAGAGTATATTTGGTTACCTAACTCAAAAACACTGCATAATTTTGGTTACCATAAAGCTAAAATAATATCTTTGCATATTCTGCTCTTGTTTTCCTGCACTGTAGCTAAAATGCAAAGGCCAAAGGCATTTGTATTGCCCACAAGTAGCATTTTACACGTACACTTGACACATGGTTTGCTTTCCAAATTTTTAATCCATATCAAAATATCTGTCCAACCTTACCATTAGCAAACATGAATGAGGCATTCTATATGACAAGAATACATTTTCCCCACTTGTTTACCTTACCACTGTGATTAGAGAAATTGTACAGGGCTGAAAAAAAAAGGACCAAGAGCTCATATTAATTTCATAAACTGTGGCACAATATTGTTCCTGGGCATAATGGATATTGTGTAGTTTCCTATTATTGTTGCTGCTATGGTGCCTGACTTTTACATCATAAGATTTCAGACACTTATACAATCCTGTTCATTTTAAGTACTGAGTTTACCTTGGTATTGCTTTCACATTTAAAATGTAATTGTTGTAGGTTGTATGATCTCACGACACTGCTTGTATCAAGGTGCATCATGCAGTTATTTGTTGTATTGTAGCATGGTGTGCTTTGAAATATGCAGTTAAGGATTTCTGGTGATGTAGCATCAGGAATCACTGTCATAGTTTGGTTTGTCACAAGGCTTGGAAAAAGACACATGCAGCATTTACTGCTATAAATGATTATGAACAATATGCATATAATGATATTCTAGCTGTATTATTTCTTGTCTCTCTATTTTCATTGTATTAATTTACTAGTATACAGTACAGGCATATTCTTCAAATTCCATTTTTCATTGCATAATTCATGCATCTTCATTTTTCATCATGAAACTGAGGGGACAAAAATAAATCCCTGTACATTTCATATATTGCATTCTTATTTTGAAAGACACTAGGAGAAAAAAAAGTCCCCAACAATCTAAATGTGAGAAAACCAGATATAAAATGTGAGGCAAACAGAGCAAGTAAGTAGACATTGTATTCTGACAGAATGTTAGGAACTGTTCTTGGTCATGCGATCTGATGACCTTGAATTCTTGTGAAGTAATATGATGTTATTGTTAATTAACCTGTGAATAGGGTGAATAGGTGATGAGCGGGGCATGAGGATGTATTTAATAAAGACGAACTGTTGAAATAATAATAAAAAAAATCTTCTGTTCCCAGTTTACTCCATGTAGAATCTGCCATTTTCAGATATGTTTTCACTTTTATAGATAGATCAAGCATACAGTGATGTTTTCTCGACTATTTTCATATATTCTTGTGTAAATCACACAATGAAAAAAAAATACCAGAGTTATGTGATATGACACATGAGCCCTCCATTTCTCATTTTTGCTTGTTTATGCTAGTGGCATTTTCTGTGCGCAAGTACTGACATCAGTTTCACGAATAACTCTACCCTTGGTCCCAAATCTGTGAAACAGAATACTGCAATTAAATGCACTAACTTTGTGATACAAGTACTTCCTGAACAGACATCATACAGTAAACTACCTATTATCTGCCATGTATCAAGAATTGGTTCTGCTGGTCAAATGAAATATTTACACTAATCCAGCACAGTCAAAACATGTTTTCACTTTAGTCACGGCATGAAAGTCCCTTCCTAGGTGACACAGATTGATGAGTGAAAGATTTTGAAACACACTGTATTGCTACCATACATTCAGCTAGTCTATTGTAATGCCAGCTACTTTAGGGAGGATGACAGCACTGTTAGTGGTGGCTGAACATACACAAATGAGATATTTGTTTTTGAATCACTTCATAAAAATTGTAAATTCTGTTAGAAATTTCTGCCATTTGGATAGCTGAGCATTTACTGGATTTGGTGGTTAAGGCAGTAATCATACTGAACCTTATGTTTAATGTGATTGAACATTCAAATTTAGGATGAGAAGTATTGCATTAAGAATGTAAACTGCTATTTGCTGGATACTAATGCTTGCGCAGAAGGACGTTTCATGCAGGCATCTTTTACACACGCACAGTGCAGATAAAGTTACAGAGAACTTATTCCTCCCCATTCTTTACATAGGTCACATAGCCGTATGTATATCTTTTTATGAAGTTCTGGTCAAGACTAGCTAAAAAATTAAAGGCACAAAGCTCTAGTCGACATTGTTCCTAAGATACAGCACTTAAAAAAAGCAAATGTGGTATGAGGCCAACAGTATGCATGCTAACAACACCCTTTATATTTTGTTCATTACGCTCAGTATACTTGACTGATTCCTAACCTGTAATTTATGGGTAGTGTGTGGTAAGTTCTTAAATACTTCTGTTTATTGATATGTAAATTCTTGTGTAATTATGATAAAATGACTAAGTAGAGAATCATGTTATACACTGCATTTTAACATTTTGTGATTTTAAAATAGCAAATCATTCACAGTGTATCCACATGTTACTACAGTATGTACAATATGCTGCTTATGAATTAAATCCTGTACACGGTTAAAAAATTGAGGTATATGCTTGTCTCCTTGATCCTGTTACTCTTCATCCTTTGTGGCTGATTTTATTAAGTTTTATATAATAATCGCATAAACTTCCTACATAATGAAGATAACGGGGGAGCGGATGTAACGGACGGAGAACAGTTGCTGCAAGAGGACTAGCCGGACAAAAAGACGTTGCAAGAACAGCCTGCAAATAAAAGGAACAGGGATGTACCATCAGACTATTCAGGGTGAACAGCCTTAAGAAGGGAGCAGTGTGACATGTTGTGCTAGGCAGGACATCCCCTCCCCCACCAGGGGTGACATAACACTGGGCGCTGTCGCTACTATGGTAACAGGCCAGTCAACACTCTGCCCCCCCTCCCCCACGGTGATGTAGCGGGGGATGCCGCGGTTGCTACAGAGCAGTAAACAACCCTCCACAGTGTTGCTAGGCAACCTGTAAACATGGCATCATGCAACAGCAGTACCTATCACATAACTGTTTTCTGTGTTGTCCATGCCTAGGCTAAATAAGGAGCAGCAAACACTATTCAGTAGTAGTGAGTGAGTAGTGAGCCAGTTACTAGAAAAAAGAGTAACCAGTTAATTGCAGTCTAGTATTTGTAATACTGCAGATGGTAGTAGTAATTATGAGATTGTAAATTGTGTGATTGTAAGAGCGAGTGGAATAAATTCGCTATATCAAATAAGGCGTGAATTTACTTGTCACGTGACAATATTAAAAACATGCACCTATGAATGCAGTACATCTCTCACATAATATGTATGATCCATTAATGTATATATCACTGATGACAGTAAATTGATTTCTTTTAACCCTTTAAATAAGCTGTTAATGTAAATGCCTTCTTTGTAGTACAATCTATTATATTAAGCTCAGCAGGGGACATTTAATATCACTATATTAGATGGAGCAGAGGGTAAAGTAACTCTTCAGCTAGGTATTTGATTAAAAGTAATTGACACTTTATGGATACAAAAATCTGATATTCATTTTTTATCCATTTGTGTCTGATTTAGTAAACATGAAGGAAGGGTGATGTGAAAGTGATGAGATTGTATCTTCAGTGTCATGCATATGAAGTACATTGCAGTTTTAAAAACTGTTAAGTGTATAGCTTTGGTGTACACAGTGCCAAGAATTTCGTTCAATGTAGCCATCCTTTTTTTTATTTTGATCAGTATCAACCCAATAAAACCTACCTGTTATAAAGGAATTACATAGGTTTACTTCTTTGTGAAATCTGCTACTCATGTTCTCTATCATGGAGTGAACCATAACCCTAGAAATTACTGAGTAACATTTAACTCTTTAAAGGGCAAATGCATACATTCAATATTACTAGCTGCAAATTTTCAGCAGCTCAATCATGTTTCCCATTTATAAGTTGATTGATAATTGATTATTTGAGTGAATGGTGTATGTTCTTGGAGGTAAAAGTAAGGAAGTAAAGGTATCCCTGTAACATGCCTTGGAGGCCCATAGGGTTTTGAGATGTTGAGGTTCCCACATTTTCTAGACAATAGGCTCATAGAAGGTGGTAAGGTTGTCAGCCCTACGCGCCAGACACCCTTTACCCACAAGAATATTCCTGGTACTCATTTCTGTTAGAGGCTGAGTCGACTCCAGGGCCATAGTGCGGCTGGAAGGATTAGGTAAATTAAAAAAAAATCCAATGACCTCATCGGGATTCAATCCCGTGACCTTCCGGCTTGTAGCATGGTGTCTCAACCAACTATGCGACCGCATGGCCCCTATGTTCTTGGAGGTAGAAATCACATTTTTAAATATTTCTTTAGATAACCCAAAGGCTAGGGAGATGATACTGCTTATCCTGACAGTTGTTTGTTGTGGTTTCCCTCCGTGAAAATGCTGCGACAGTGCCTTGATTAGGATATGATGGCTTCCTTTTCAGTTCAGCCATCATCCTACCATTCAATTTCATGTAATTTCGTTGCTGAAAAAGTGTCATAAAGTAACCTGCAGGGAATAAAAAGACAGGCAATATGCAAAAGTAATATTTTCCTCTCTCTCTCTCTCTCTCTTCAAAATTTGTATAGCATGTTACATTATTAACATTACAAATTCCTCCAGGGATGTAATCATGATATACATGTTGGTTTTACTGATTTCTGATTATCTGTTGAATGATTGTGCTTGCTCTTTGGGAATGCAGGAACAGTAACTTGTTTGGTATACTTTGTTCAAACAATTATTGTGTTTTTGAACATTATCCAGCGTGTTGTTTTTTTTTCCTTAAAATATGTTTCAGTGACTGGATTCTGTCTTCAGGTAAAAACCTACAGACATTACAGGCATCATCTGTCCCCTCTTATTTCAGGGAATAGCTTAACATTAAAATATTGAATTATATTAAAAATAATATACATCTTTTTGGTTTAAGTTAAAAAGCTCTGGTAAGGTGTTTCAAAGAGGCCTCCGTAGTCTAGGGGTATCATTCCCACCTCATGACTCAAGGTACACGGGTTCAAACCCGGCGGAGGTCATGGAATTTTTAAGGACGGAAAAATTCAGGGAACAAGTCCTCCAGGAGGGACTTCAAGCCATGGGTCCTGTGTCACAGATTTATGGCACGTAAAAGATCCTCATGTCTCTAGGAGACCTCTGAGCAAAATTAGGCAAAGTTTCCCGCCAAAGTAGTTTCCAATGCCTCTGGTAGACGGGGGAAATATCAGGTACCGAGGGCTGACCTCATAGGCTGAACGGGGCTGATAGCACACACCAGTACCAGTAGGGTATGGCGACAGTAGAAATTAAAGGGGGTTGCACAATGGACCAATAACTGCATGGGGAAACCCACCCCCTCTAATAATAATAATAATGTGTTTCAAAATACTAACAGGCTGTATAATGGACACACAATATCTCAGAGCCTACGCTACGTTACAGGAAGAAGGGAAAGAGAGATGTGACGGAAAGAGCAAGTCCCTACTGATGATGCGGTGCCACCCATTTTGTCTTCCTGGGTATGTGAGCTGTTGTTTTCTTCACTGTTGTCACTATCATCACTTTCTCTACCTCCCAAACTGACTGGGTCGACTCCATTGTCAATATGTTCATCACTGTCATAATAATAAACATAATTTCATGTCCAATAGTGCAAGAACCACCTAACAATCCTCCCTCCCTGTACCATGGCTGGCAGGCCAACCTACTTTTGTTAACTGTAATGGTCAATGAAGCTCAGGATATTTTTTGTATCTGTAATAGTGACATCTATGTCAAGATACTGGTGAAATAATTTCAGTTTCAGTATCATATAAGATTATATGGAACATGCTTACAAGGGTTGTGGAAAAAGTCAGTGTAGAAATATAATAAACCAGTCAGAGTAGAACAAACTAAGACATACTGTATTTACGAGTACATTTTTTATCTGAAGTGTAACCAACCTGAAACAGAATTAGAAATTCAGTTTTCCTTCTCTTCAGAGATTACCTCCTGTCAATAACCTTCAATGTATGGCACTTATGAGAGATGATCATAAAAATGTGGGGCTGAACTTTTCTGCATATGAGTAACACACTACAAAAAGTGGCTGATATTACTGTTTGTGACTTTACTCAAACTGCAGGGAAGTCACTGTCTTGTATCAGTTGGGAATTACGCATTCGTATTGGTCCTCACAATGTTAAAAAGCTGTCATAAAACTTGGGAAGATGAGAATTTGAAATACATTCCATTCAGTTTAAATTACAATGATATTTTCATAGTCCATAAAATCTTCTGTATAATATCAATCTCATGCTGTTTTAAGCAATGATGTCAAGATTCGTTTTTGCCAGAAATATGTGCAGATCACCCCTGATCATCAGAAAACCATGTCTGACTTCTTTCATATAAACCGAAGCCATTGTAGCTTCTTATCCTATCCATTCCACAGGAGGCTGGCTGCTCCACTACACTGTATTCTTTTCCATCTGATGGCGTGCAGAAGTCTGTGAGCTGAGGTTCCTGGTCCTTGCAATGCCTGAATTCAACTTCCCTTTTGCTCTTTACCCTGTCATCACTGCCAAGGAGCTCCTCATCACACACAGTCAGTGAGACAAGGTCCTTGTACAGTTTCTCTTCAAATGGAAAGTTCAACTTGCTTAAAATCTGAAACAATAAGAATGGGGAGTGTGACTCCAGAAATTCTGTTTCAATCTACTAGCTGCTTTATGCAAAATGCACTCACTCATCTATTTACACAGGCTAATAATTTATTTCACAGTATACAATGGCCATTGCCTTCACCCAACAAAACAGATCCTATCATTCAACAAGAAACTTCACATCAGAAACACGCACAATACACCAATATTCACATTCCATCAAATTCTCCACAAATAAGAATATCTAACTAATTCTAAATTGTAATCAACTGTAAACAATTGTAACTATTGTAATTTTAATCTTACTCATATATTAAATTGTTGATATTCAGATTTAACTTGACTTGTCCTATATCATGTACACTGATCTACAGTGACAAAATCAATCAATAATGAAACCATGCGCTAGGCCAACTACAATTTAAGGGATTTTTAACATTTTAAGGTTAAATTATACCACATATGTTAAAAACTGATCCATTTTAAAGAAATTTATTTTAATTTCAACTTGGAATTTGGGGATTCCATATATTACTAATTTTGAAACCATCTGAACACTATCTATTATGCTTGAAACATGTGGTGATGTAGCATAACCACAACAAAACTAATATTAAGACTATTAATTTAACTCTATTTTTTTTAATTGTTAAGAAAACTGTGGTGATAAAACCAGCAGTGCACGGGTTCCACCATAAAATATGTAAAAACATGTCTTATCACGACCCAAGCGAAAACTGCTTGTGCTCGTTATGTGATCAGTTCTGCAATGTATACCACATCACAAGATGTAAAAACAATCATAAATCTCTGTGTGATTATAGCAAAGGCTAAAACCCAGAATCTATGTAATGCACATTCATGCGCTTTTCTGTTAATAAAAACTGTTGTGTAGTCTCTGTAACACATCACGATGCAAAAGAGTAAAATTAATAATTTCCTTGCCACCATAACTCACATATGCTGAGTGCATGACTATTTCTGGAACTTATGGTAAAGATTTTTCACATCGTACTTTTCAAGGCACACATTAGTGAAAATGTGCACAGGCTGAGTACATACTGTCAGTCACAAAGTATATGACTTAACTTCATTTCAGCCACTAAAAGTACAGTAAACCCACACTAATCCAGGGGGGGGGTAATCATGATNATAACATGCAAAAAAAAAAAAACTTAAAAAACAAATAAATGGAAAATTTAATGATATAAGTAGTGGTGATGAAAAGAAGAAAATAACAAAATATCACTGTAGAGCCTTTATTTAAAAACTACAAGAAGACAATACATTTATTCATCTATAGAAGACTCTGTCAGGTTTTGTCTGAACAGATAAGTGACTCACCTGCCTTCTTAAGGCCATGTGTCTTTAGAAGTATGTACTCAATTGAGAACAACATTTTTCATATTTTGATGCAGATTATCCAATATCCAGATTAACAGTAACCAGATTGGCAGTGGTTTACTGTACTTATATCTCTTTTACGCTTCACTTTCTTGTTGTAATTCAGTGGTATCAGTTAAAATTGTACTCCTTATTCCAAAAAGTCAATGTATTTATAAAACATACTGTCCCATACATTTTCCAAAAATATGAAACTGCTGGAGTTGCAAAAGCAAAGTGTTAGGAGAGAAAGAAGTACTACTGGACTGGTTTAATTTGGGAATGAAAGCAGTTAAGCAAAGTTGGAGGGGAAACAAGGGTTCCATGCAGTTTTTGTGGTTGAAATCTTTTCAAAAATTATAACATGAAAAATGCAGAAAGCTGGGAGGTTGACTACTGGAACAGGTTGTGAGGGGGCCCTTCATTCGTGCAATTTGGCCTTTAATGTGACGAAAACTGTCTTGGCCTTCCTTGAATTCATGAAAAATTTTGAATATAATTTAAAGATGTTATTCTGAATTGTCACCCAACACTACATTCATGGCTTCCTGAATGGGGGCGATTGCTGTATATCAGTGTAAGCTTAAAAACATTTTTGATGACTGTCTTCATTTATTATTGCAAAAAGAATAATACCTTTACATCCAGCACTTGCTTGGCTGGTGGATGGATGCCTGTGCCACTTGGTCGTTTCGCATCTAATCTTGCAGTATCCTGAATTTCTTTTGCTATGCACAATGTTGTATTGAGTTCAGGTGTTGCAAATTTGCTCTTGTAACTTGACTTCTTCACATCTGATCCTGGTTTGTCTTGTACAATATCTACTGGAATGGAAGGGCACAATCTTCCTCTTGCGAGTGGCACTAAAACTTGTTCGACATTCCTAACAAGAGTCTTTTTCACATTACAGGCTTTTCCTGAAACTTTCACGAATTTGGGGATTTCCGGTCTTTTATGAGTACTGACTGGCGGGTTCCAATATTTATCATCATGTCCACTGTCTTTGTCCAGGTACTTCGAAAGCCTGGTTGATACTTCATTTGTGCTTTCTATCGGTATTTTCGAATAACAGTCGCTTTTATCTGTGCAAAATGCAAACGTAACCCTCTTTTTCTTTGAACCCTGCGACTTTTTTACACTTACCATGATAAAACTTAAAACCAACACACTTGCAACCACCAACGACTACACTGCTTGCATTTCGCACGATGCACTCATTTGGTTCGCATCACGGATTATTAAATTCACATGAACCCCACTCAAGCTCGTTCCTTAGTGATCCATGTTAGGCCGGACCAGAGTTGAATACATGTTAGTAAATGGGGCAGCACAAATTGAAGAAACGGCAATGCAACTCGCGGGGAGACTGAGAAACTCAACATCCAGGCAACGGAGCAGCCCAGTCTACACACTATTGAGTTGCTGGGTAGATTCTTAGAAATCAGCTGTTCTGTAACACACTTCAGTGATTCGGTTGTTTGTTAAGATGGCACGAATATTTAATGCTGTCCACCCACCTACGTCTTGGTCTTCCCAGTGGTCCCTTGCCTTCTGGCTTTCCCAGCAATATTAAAATGGATCATAGAGAGATATGATGGGATGGTATGGATTGGATTCATCTGGCTCAGGATAGGGACCAGTGGAGGTCTTTTGTGAACACGGTAATGAACCTTCAGGTTCCATAAAATGCTGGGAAGTTCGTGAGTGGCTG